ATATATACACTACCATAACCAATATTATAAATTACCTATACTATCGAGTACAAAACCAACCCACCAAACCTAATGGGTAGGGAAACAATTCGTCTCTATATGTCGCCAAAGAAAGGGCCACAACAAACCAAGATGTCCTCAATCGCCTCACACAGTCCTTTGTCAAAGAGAAATGTCGTCTCCTCCATATGAATGGGATTGCAGGTCCTCAACCCAAATAAAAGTTTAACAATACATATACAAGACCGAAGAAAAAGGAGTTCACTATGAGGATCAGACAGTTGTGGAAGAAGACACATCAAATTCACAGCTTTTTCGACTATCTTTATGGCTAAGCTCCTAATGAAACTAGCGTCTCTACTAACAGCTCTCCCAAGAAGTTTCACCCCCAATGGCGGCCTCCCGATGCCAACCGGTAAAAGCCCCTCACGGAGCTTCCTACCATCACACGAGGGAAAAAAGAGCTCGGTTTTCTTGATATTCAACTGAAGGCCCAATTTTACATCCATCACTGTAATGATGTCTAACGCTTTGGCCACCTCCTCCGAATCTCCAATAAGTGTTCTATCATCAAGGTACCATGCATGGAGAAGAAGCTTGCAATTGTCTATAATATTATGCAAGAGCGGGTGCAACACAAGAGCAAAGAGAAGTGATCCCCAAGGGGTCTCCTTGCTGAACCCCAGTGGTGGACCATATATGTGTGCCTCCTAGATACAACATTGTTGCTTGACCATATAAGAATTCTACCCACAAGGATATAAGGGTACCTCAATCTGACCTCATGAAGTAATGCAGATCTGTCCACAAGGTTAAAGACATCAGAGAAGTCCACGATAAGCATATAAAGAGTCCCGTCGTCGTGACGCTCACTCAAGACCCTGTTGACAGGGTTGTTCCAAACATATTTTGGGCCCAGGATGAGAGAGGAAATGAGACCCTTAAGATACACAGATTTTGTTGGATTAGTGTCTAAGTCCATAACTATAATTGATATGTACTTGACCCGATTTGACATGGTCCATTTGGGTTGCATGACATCGGAACAAGTTGGATAGACTTTTGTGAGAAAATGATATTTATGATTTATTAATATATTATAAGTTCTAATATATTAATATGAAATCATATTATTTAATTAGTATTGATCAAAAATTAATTTGGAATTAATTATGTGATCAAAAGAGACTAACTGAATATATCGGGATTGATTATGTAAATCATTCATTCTTATATATGTGGGCTTATGATCCATAGTTCTTCATGTTGGGCTAAACCCATGGATACTCCATGGAGGTTAAAACCCATAGATCATGAGGAATATGGAAAGTCATGAGTTACATGGTGTAACACTAATAGCCACAATATATAAAGACCCCATAGCTCAAGAAATCGGCCAAAAGGATTCATATGAGAGGGCTAGCTGTTTTTTAGCATGAGAACCTTTTCTCTCAAGTTATTCCAAGTTGTTGGTGGTGTTGTGTGAACCATTTGAGGTGTCACATTTGGGGCACTAGACTCTAAAACTCCATGGAATCAAGCTACAACAAAGAGGTATGTCATTCTACTAGATTATTGTATTATATATACTTCATATTATGCTAGTTAGGATGAAACCTTGGAATATTGAATATTTGCATGTATAATAGAGAAAACATAGATCCAAAGTTTATAGGGTTGTATGTGCACCATAGGATGTTGTAGTATACTAAAACCCAACAGATTTCATTCACTTTTTTATAACAACTCAATAACCGAAACAAAATTATTTATACTAGCTTCTAAATAACATTATCGATTACAAAGTTCATATATTTAAGGAAAAATAGTTATTCTAGCTTTTTGAGATGCAAAATTATTAATGATATATATTCAAGATCGATCTTGTCTAACATATCATTAATAAAGTCTAAAAATTTTGGTCATCTTTTAAAAGATGGGTCTTGGACGGTCGCCCCTTTCGTCCACCCTCTGGGACGAGCCTGCCTATTGACGCTATGTAATACGGCCTCAGCACCACTCGACACTCCGATCCCGAACTGAAAATTATTGAAATGTTTTGTCATTTATTTACCAACACCTTTCATAACCAATTTAAAAACCAACCATCTCCATATAATGCCTACTACAATAGGTTGTATTCTATCGTCAGGATTTAAAAGCGACGTAAAAAAAAAGCAGAGACAACAAATTTTATATTACTTTTTAAAAATAATATATACGATTTTTTTACAATAAATCATATAAAACAGTTATATTTTTTTAAAGAAAAGTATTCAAATAATTTTAAATCTTAATGCTGAAGTTTAACAAAAAAACCATATTAATTCACGCCAAAAATCATTCAACACGGTTTGAAATACATTTGCTTTTACCTTTCCAAAAAAAACTTTGCAGTATCCCACGCGCGCAACTTACTTTCACCCAATAACGTTCGACCGATGACGTTTTCTCTGCGACCCTACATCATTTCATTTGTTCGTATCTCTCACGCGCGAATACAACGTCGTGAACATCAAAAGCCTCCGTACTTACATACCAAAACTGGAAAGAAAAACGTAAAATACGGCGGTTAAAACTTTTACTTTTCCACGCGCCTCCATATCCGTATAAAAACCATCCCCAAATACCCTCTTATCTCTTCTTCATCTTCTATCTTTTTAAACAAAGAGTCTTCAAAGTAAGTTGTATTACATGCATTAAAAGCTATATCTAATTTATTTTAAATTTCGACTTTTATCTGGTCAGGTATTGTTGAAAGAATAATTTGTTTGTAGAATTATGTTTCTATTTGAATATGTTTCATTATGTCAGTCGGTGAATGGAGTCCTTTTGTTACTAAATTTATGTATATGACATGTTTGGTGTGAATTTGAGAGGTAAAGGAAGATAGGGTGGTGACATCAGGTGTAATAATGGTGTGAGAATGTCATGTGTTTATATATGGTAACGTACTATAGATACAAGTTTCATGTATGTATAGTAATACGTATGAATGAAGAGAGAATAAAGAAAAAAGAGAGCGGTGGAGGTGGAGAGGTATGGTGTGGGACCCGTGAAGTTATGAGAGAGAAGACTTCAACATCACGACAGGGTGAAGGGGGTGGGGGTAAGAGACAGCTAGTAGTGAAGGAGGTGCCTCACCTACCATACATCTCTCTCATCTTCCCTCCCTTTTTAGGGTTCTTCACGCCCTTCTTTCTCGTTTCAAATTTCATAATCTGTAGACTACTATATACGCTCCACTTTCAGTTTGATTTTAGGTTGTAGAGCTCAGAGTTGATAATCGGTTTCTGTTTCGTGTATCGAGTTTAGGGATTACCTTTTGTCATTTCATTTGGGAGTATTTAGATTCGTGATTCCTGATTCGTCATTCGTTATTCGTGATTCGTGATTCGTGAATGAAGTTTTTGAATTGAGAGGGATTTTGCGTGTAGCTTTTTGCATATTGTAGGCGGGAATTAGGGTTTAAAGCGAAGGTTTGCCTCTTTTAAACTTCCGTTTTTCAGAATAAATGTTGAATGTGTAGATAATTAAAAGAGTTCACCTCTTCGTAAGGCATTTGTTTCGGGTTTTCACGAATTCATCGCAAATTGATGCGTTTTCGTCTTCTGAAACATGAAAATAGGATTATATCTTGTTTTTCATTGGGTTTTTTGAAGCTAAACAGAGAACAGAGCTGATTTTTCGTGAACTGTAATACAGCTCTGTTGTTTGAAACATTGTTCACAGTTTCTGCTTGAAATTTGCTTGAATTTGTCGTCAATTTCATAGCAATAGTCTCTCATTTTGTTCAATTTGGCATTTTCATTTTTTAATCAGTTCTATAATCTTCAATTTCTATATTGCAGGTAGTTCAGTTCCAAAATCTACAAGTGAAAGTAACTCATTTGAATTCTAACCTCAAGGTTAGCTCAAATTTTCCCTTTCCCAAATCCCCACTGCATTTCCTGTTTTACTAAAGGACATAACAGGGTAAAAGTTGTTTCACTTTGAAACCGACAAAATTTCAGCAAATTTCTCAATAGTACACTACTAGATTGAGTGGAATTCGTAAAGGGATTTTGAAATTATTACAAGTTTTCTGCATATGAAGCAAGAATCTCAGTACGCTAAAGCTAAATTTGGAGATTATACTTTGTTTTTCTGATATTTTTCTGCTAAAATGCGCTATATAAAACCAATGTGAGCTGTCTCACCATTGTCATTCATCACCGAGCACGTTAGCACACAAAAAAGGTCATTCACTTTTTGAAATGTCACACTCGTTTCCATTACAAACCAATCTTTATTTTAACGCAATTCAACATTACATTATATAAGTTCTAACAATTTTGGAAATTTTTTTTTGCAAAGTGTAATAATATACTAATACAAAAATCTTCAATTCTTGCGAGTTTTAGTGTCTCTTTCGTATTCTTCCATAATTTCTTCAACGTTTACTCATCTTCTTTTGGTTTCTTCAATACCCAGAGTTAAAAAAACAACAATGGAGGGCCAAACTTACAATGAAGAGATCGATTGTGGAAGTTTCTTTGATCAAATTGACGATTTCATCGAATTCCCTCCAGTCAACGACACCACATTCAATAATTCAATAGATTGCAATGATTTTGCCGACATTTGGACCAACAACTCCGATGAACTCCAAGTCTCTGATCCCATCTTCTCCGATAGTAATCCCGCCTCAACCCTATCAGCAGAACTTTCCGTTCCGGTGAGTAATCATAAACTCGGTAACTATTTTCATTTTTCATGCATTTTTCTTTGTAAATGTTTCGGAATTATGACGTCATTTATCGGAATCTGATCTCATCAGTGTCGGTCCAACACTTCTTTCCCTTTTCTCGAGATTTTAATATTTTTATTTATCTTGAAATTTGAAAAATTTGAGCTCTCAAAAATCGTCGGTGGGCTTTTTAAAGCATTTTCGTGTTTTCATTTCGATTTTGTTGCGTAACTTGTTCTTATTTAAAAGCATTCTTGAATATATATATTTAATAATAAGATATTTTTATTAAAGTAAGCATTTTTTTTTTTGAAATGAAGACAGCATTCAATCTTTTGGCTGACCCCATCAATAATTGTTACTTTCAAATCCCGCATCGATTGTTTAAAAAACACGGTCGATTTAATAATTACAGAAGAAGTCAAAAGAGTTTTCAATCCCCATTCACTGAACACCTTAATTTTGATTGGAGAAAATGAACGTAAATATATCTTAATAATAATAATAATGTTTTTTTACGATATATTTGTATTAAATTTATTTTATCCTTTTCTATTATTGTACTTATGATCTGTTTTATGCATAATTTTCAGTATGAAGATATCATCCAGCTTGAATGGCTTTCAAACTTTGTGGAAGACTCGTTTTCCGGTGGGGGAATGACAATGAACAAAGAGAATATTCCGGTGAAAAAAGAGCCACCAGTGGTGGTGGCAAACTACCACTTCCAGATGTCAAGTCCGGTCTCCGTTCTCGAAAGCAGTAGCAGCTCCTCCAGCTCCTCCTCTAGCTCCGGGAGTGGCACCGGCGGCATGATGATCCCACTCAGCCCAACTCACCGGGGCCCGCAGCGGGCCCGAAGCAAACGGTCTCGACCTGCCACCTTCAACCCCCGTGCCGCCATCGAACTCCTCTCCCCTCCAAACCTGATTCCGATTCCGATTCCTGGTTCTATGGAATCGGTGATTCCGGTTGAGAAGAAGAGAAAGAAGAAGCCGAAGAAGAAACCCGAGGCGGCTCAATTCAATCCGGAAGACAACGAGAACGGAATCGAGAACCAAAAGATGGGGACGGGGCAAGGAGTTAGGAAGTGTATGCATTGTGAAATTACGAAAACGCCCCAGTGGCGGGCTGGCCCGATGGGTCCGAAAACCTTGTGTAATGCTTGTGGGGTCCGTTACAAATCCGGGCGGCTGTTCCCGGAGTATCGCCCGGCTGCAAGTCCGACATTTGTCCCTTCCGTGCACTCGAATTCACATAAGAAGGTTGTGGAGATGAGAACTAAGTGTATGCCGATTGAGGTAATGGGATCAGTTCAGGTTCCACTTGGACCTGAACTGATCCCCAACCCGAACCCACTACCAGAATATATCTGATGTGGGTTGGGTATAATGTATTCGGGATTCGATATCTGGTATCTGGTATCTAATATCGTATAATTAGTATGTTGAATTGGTTGATTGTACAGGAGGGTAATGAAGGAGGGAGGAAGAGGAGGAGCATATATATATATTATAGATATTTTAGAAGGTTAGAGAGAGA